GGAAAATCAGCCCCACATCAATGCCCAGTTCTCAGAGGGTAACCGCCACAGGAACTGACTATAATCAGAGAGCAAATTCTCCTGTGGCTCACAGGGCTCCCTCCCCAGAAGCTGCCTCCAAACAGAAGCTTGCCTCACTCCAAACTAACACCACACAGCATGTCTTCGCAAGACCAAATGTTTGTTCACATGCTAAACAATAAAGAACTTGGAAGACCATATGTAACAGGGCCACCTGCCATAACATTATGATGCCTATTTAACAGGCCAGGAAATTGAGCAACCGAGGGGTTGAGTGCCTTGGCCAGACTCACTCAGGAAGTCTGTGATAGAGTCAGGAATTCAACCCCAGTCTCCCAGCACCTAGTTTTGTGCCTTACCCGGCAGACCAGCCTTGCTCCCTCATGTGGGCACAAATATTTGCAGACATCAGAGACAGAGTTGTCAGCCATTGCTTTGGGATGTGGGACAGCCAATTCTCATGCACAGGGACCTCAGGTCCCTCTCCCCATAGTTATTATAACAGAAGGCTCCACTGTCAAATATACTGTAGTGGTGTAGGATATCACCACTAAACTCTTCAATGGCCTTGTAATTCATGGTTGCTTATCTTTAATTCAATAGCTAACCTCCAAAGTTCTTGATTATGAAACTAAAGCTACATAACCCTCTTGGATTCCTTGACATTATTTCCACGTGGTTTGCACTGGTGTTGCTGTCTGTTCATTCAGGCAGCCACATACTCAGCCTCTCCAAGTCCCCCAGCTTTAGGAAGATGAGGTGTTCTGGATTTACTGAACAACCCAAATTGGCCCCTGCCGTTATCCCTTCCCATTCCTCTGCATAAACCAAACCCTACAGGGATTTGCACATCTGCCCAGCTGCTTCTAACGGCTACACAGAGCCACAATGTTTCCCATCACCTGCTCCCTGAGCCGAGACAGGGAACGCAGCTGGATACAGCCAACAAAATTCCAGATGTGGCTGCTGTCAACAAGCCACATGTGTTTGCGGGGGTGGGAGTAGAAGCACACACTCTCGCTCTCTGTGTCTCTAACACAAGTTGAAATAACATATGCTAAGATTGTAAGCTCCTTGAGGCAGAGACCACCTGTTGGTTCTGTATATGTAGAGCACCTAACATAAGAGTCCTTGTCTATGCTCCTGGTCCTGGTCCTGCTCCTCAGCACTATTATTATTGTTGATTGTATAATTAGTAATAATGGCATTTTTGCCAGTTTACTTTATTTGATGGCAAATTCCTGTGCTTAGGAAAGCCATAGGTTTAGAGTTACTGTTGCTAATTGTCCAACAAGATATGTCTGGTAAGCCTGGATAGTGACTGGAGGGGCATATGCATCTATGGGAAGTTTCTCAATGTAATTTTTTTCCTCCCATTAAATACATTTCTTGCCTCACCCCATGATTCCCCAAAGAGGATGTGGAGGTCATATGGGAGAAGGTGTATCTGCCCTCTCTAAATAATGTTAAAAAAACAAACAACCTTAGAGTCTGATTCAAAGCCCATTGAAGTCAATGGGAATCTTTCCACTGACCTGAAAGGGCTGCAGATCAGCCCCCGATTCACCAAGAGGAGAGGGTAAAGGTCTCTCCCACTTGTCTACCAAATGGTGGGTGTGATGTTAAACAGGCACAAGGCAGCAGGGAAACTCTGCAGAGCATCTGTTTAATAAACATTAGGTGACTTGGGGGCTTGTAAGTTGGAAGCTGATAGCCCTGGTTAGAGCAGGGGGAAGTACTGAACTGTAGCAATGCATGTGGAGCCTGGCCTCCAATAACCCAGCTAGTAAGTGACTGTCCTCCCCAATAACATCGCTAACACACCACAGTGCTCACATAATTCTGTTGCTCTTCCAGTCTTGTGTCTCCCACAGCTCTACCAATGCACCTCTCTCTGAGCTGCTATTCCAGTACCGGGGGCCATTCCTGAACAGCACTGAAGGTGTGCAAAGTGTTCCTGAACATACCGAAGTGATGATAAACTCCGGTGGTATTAGGGTGACCAGACGTCCCGATTTTATCGGGACTGTCCCGATATTTGCTTATTTGTCCCACGTCCTGACCTACCTTCGGTCGGGACGCGAATTGTCCCGATATTTTGCCTCTGCTCACAGGCGGAGCGGAGCCCAGAGGGGGCTCGTGCCCAACTCCGCCCCCTCCTTCCCCCATTGGATCCCTCCCCAAATCCCCGCCCTGGCCCCGCGCCCCCAGCCCCCCCCTCACTGCCCCATTGGATCCCTCCCCAAATCCCTGCCCTGGCCCCGCCTCTTCCCCAAGCACGCCGCATTCCTCCTCCTCCCCCCTCCCTCCCAGACTTGCGCTGATCAGCTGTATGGCGGTGCAAGCACTGGAGGGAGGGGGAGGTGGAGACGGAGCAGAGGCAAGCTGGTGGGGGGGGAGGGGCGTGGAGCTCTGGCGGCCGTTTTTTTCTCCCCTGCTGGAGGGAGGGGGGAGATGGAGACGGAGCGGAGGCATGCTGGTGCGGGGGGGGTGGGGGGCGGGCATGGAGCTCCGGCCATTTTTTTTATTTTTTTTTGCTCCGCCGCTGGCTTTTTTTTGCTCCCCCCTCCTCCCCCCGCATCCCGATATTTCACCTGTGTAATCTGGTCACCCTAGGTGGTATCATGCTAGAACAAATGCCCGCTAAGGACTAGGATGAGACCTTCAACCTTGTGTAAGTTGCAGTCAATGTCGTATTGAAACCCATGTCTGCAGAGAAGACAGGCTAGTGCATTTACCCACTGCAACACCATGGTCCCTAGAAAGTCTAACTACATTCTGGCTCCTTCATCCCCATGCGTGGCGAGACTTCGCAAATGTCATCGGAATTCCAGCTAGGTTAGGAGATGCAGGCTCAGATCCTCCACTAATGTAAACCAATGTAGCTCCATAATGGAGCTAGGCTAATACTGGGCCAGCTCCTCTGCTGGTGTGTAAGACTCAATGGGCCAGATTCCACAATGCTGTAATGAGCTTGCCCTGGATATGAATTTGGCCTGCTTGGATCCAATATGTTAGTTATTTTTTGCTAAAGCACCCAGAGGGCTTGGGCTATCGGATGCCAAGAAATTATGAATGAGTAACTAACTACTCCTGGTGCGAGTGTGTGTGATACTAGTTCTGAATGCTCTCAGCATGTTCCATGCATGCTGCCTGTGACGTTGGACTCTATATGATTTTATGAAAATATGCTAATGTAACTGGAATATGCTTCATGCAAAAGGTCTCTTGTAAGGTATCATTACAAAGCTTATAATCTACTGAGTGTGATCATCCTATTTGTATAAATGTACCACTCTTGTATCTGAAACTAGAAATATGAAATAACTCTGAGGGCCTATTGTAATTATGCAAAGTGTGGGCCATTAATGGTGGTTTGGAATCTTGATGACTCCCATTAACCAGGACAATTGACTGCAGATGGCTCTGTTTTACCTGTAAGTCTTCCTATATACGTGTGTGCTGGCAAGTGGGTAATGAAGTCTTACAGTGACATGTGATCATGTCACCTGAACTGGAATCCATCTTTAACCTGGTGCTTTTCCATTGAGAAGGGGTGGTGGGAACCCAGAGGGACAAAGGATTCCCGCCTTATGCAAAAGATATATAAGTGGGTGGAACAGAGAAAAGGGAGAGCCATCATGAGAAATCCCCTAGCTACCACCTGAGCTGGAACAAGGGCTGTACCAGGGGAAAGGATTGTGCCCAGACTAGGAAGGCTGTGAAGGAGACTTATTGAAACATCTTTCAGGGTGAGATTTTATCTGTACTCAGTTGTATTACTGTTTTAGGCTTAGATTTGCATGTTTTATTTTATTTTGCTTGGTAATTCACTTTGTTCTGTCTGTTACTACTTGGAACCACTTAAATCCTACTTTCTGTATTTATTAAAATCACTTTTTACTTATTAATTAACCCAGAGTATGTATTAATACCTGGGGGGGGGCAAACAGCTGTGCATATCTCTCTACCAGTGTTATATAGGGCAAAAAATTTATGAGTTTACCCTGTATAAGCTTTATACAGGGTAAAATGGATTTATTTGGGTTTAGACCCCAGTGGGAGTTGAGCATCTGAGTGTTAAAGACAAGAACACTTCTGTAAGCTGCTTTCAGTTAAGGCTGCAGCTTTGGGGCAAGTAATTCAGACCCTGGGTCTGTGTTGGAGCAGACAGGCGTGTCTGGCTCAACAAGACAGGGTGCTGGGGTCCCGAGCTGGCAGGAAAAGCAGGGGCAGAAGTAGTCTTGGCACATCACTTGGCAGTTCCAAAGGGGGTTTCTGTGATTCAACCCGTCACACTGCCTTCCAGGGTTTGTATGGTGGGAAGCACAGCAGCCGCAGCTTTTCAGAGCCAGAGAGTCCATGACAGCAGGTGGGGAGCCTGCGTCCTCACCTGCTTTAAAAAGGAAACTGTCCCCCACCTGGTTAACAGCTGCTAGGTGGAGCAGCAGTGGGTTCTGGGCCTGATCCAAAGCCCATTGAATTGGGATCTTTCCCGATGCATGGGTGTGCCCCTGATTAAGCTCACACGAGGCTAGGGGAGTGGGAGCCAGTCAGATGGGTGAGAGAGCTGCTGCCATTGGCACCAGGACAGAGGTAAGCAGCATGTGTGACAGGAACTGTGATGCCAGCACTCAGGGTTACTGTAGGTATCTATGGGCGCACTGTCCTAGGGACCTAGTCTCCAGATTCCTCCCCAAGACACTGGAACAACCAAAGAAGACAAGTCCCCCAGAGAAACCTTCTAGGTTTCCCACTTAGCCCACTGCATGCTGGGACAGCACTTTGTGGGCTTAGGGCGTGCTGGGCAGATACTCACACAGTGCAGACATGATCAGAAAGACTCAGAGTTCTGTACCTCACTTAATTTTAAGGAGTTCCAAGTAACCTGTGACACTGCACTCATCTATCTGTCCATCATACCCTAACCACAATGGAATGCACTGCAATAACAGACCAGCCATGTTTCTGCTACTCACTTAGACTCTTCTCTCGGTTCTGTATGCGGAAGGACGATGGCTTCCACCACCCAAAGCGGGAGAGGTGAGGGTCTACGAAGCAGGCACCAGGACTGACTGTGTCAGCCAAGACTACAAGAGAAAGGAGAAGAATCCAGTTCAGGAAGTATCAGCTCACAAGCTACAGCTGAGAGATCTGAGCCTCAGCTCACCATCTTGCACTGGTTTGACTTTTTTGGTCCCTCTAGCTTCCCTGAGAGCCCTTAGAACTGGGATTCTAGAGGGGCTGGGCATGATAGCCACATGTCTTCATGCTGAAGCTTTTGTCCCTGACCAGTGCCAGAAATGGGCTGGATCTGTGTCCCTGGACTGGTAGCACCACATGAACACTCCTACACTCTGCTACCGTTTGGGTAGGAGGCATCCAAGAAGCAATGCATTTCTCCCATAGGGATTGTAGCACATGTCATTTATCCTGTAATCTTCTGTATGTTAGGTGCTCAGTCCATGGACACTTGGGACTAAGACCATCCACATGCTGGTGAGGTGCTGAGTCCATGGGCCTTTGAGGCTTAGTCAGGTTGTCTTTCCCTCCGACTACGGAGTTTCAAACTCATTTTGGACTTTTGTATGCTAGGGAACTGTGGGCCAGATGTTCAGCTGGTGTAAATCACTGATGTCAATGGAGCAACACCAGTTCACACCGGCTGAGGATCTGGCTCCATGTCTGTAACTCACTTTTCTCCGTGTGTTTTATACGCATCGTGTAGGCTGGTTCTGCGAACATGGTGAAGTCGTGATTCCTGATGCCAGTGCAGGGCTGCCGGCCATATTTTCCGGCCCCTGGCCCTGGAATGCAAATGGAAGTGTGAATGTACAATGTTAACATGGAGAGGAACGAGCCAGCCCCCCTTTAATTTATATAAAAGGTTCAACCAGAAGAGATTCACGCCCTATGCTCCTTGTGAAGCTCCTTTCTCCTCCTACCCATGTATCATCTCAGTCCAAGACAAGGAAGTGATCTTGTGACTAATGTCCCCTAAGGTCTTTAGGCCCCCCTGCTCTAAACCCCATTCTTCAGAGCTTAATCGTGAGGGTGACCATGCTCTAATGAAAAGTCTCCCACCGGCCTTGTATCCCGTTCCCTGGCATGGGGATATAATTATGAGAGTTACCAGAAGGTTTACCCTGAAGGAGTTACCCTGACCAGAAGGTTTCTATCCTCCTGTTCTCCAGAACACCATGGCATGGGTGTTACCGTCCCTAACGAAGGGCATCACCTCCTCCCTTGTCACTCCAGGGCACAGATGAGATAATCTCTGCCCTCTGTATCCTACAGCCCCAGATGGGAATGTGACTGCAAAGGTGACTGTCCCATACGGTCGTAGCTTTCTAACCTTTCCATCCTGGAAAGCACCTCTTTGTAAAAGAAAGATTACCCGATGGACCCCCCAATTCCAACACTCCAAGCTCTGTTGCTTGACTGTCAACTATGGACTACCAGGAAGGTCTCTGCAGCGCTCTGGCAGTGATCCATGGACCATCATTTGAGATCCACTGACCTAACAAGAAGGCCTCCAGCCCCTGTTTCCTACCCTCCCAGGCTGCAGATGACCTAAAGGGAGTTACTCCCTGGTTTGAATGCGATTACTTTAGATTTTGCACAAGCCATAGTGATAACCAGATGTAACCAATTCTCCATCAGCCCAAGGAGCCATTGGCATCCCACTAAAGACAGGTACAACCTAGAGATGCTGATTCCCTGTGAACTCTGGCTTTGGCCTACAGGTCCCAGTCCAGCTCCATACCTACAAGCTTCTCCACTAGTCCCTTTCCCACCCCCCAGGTCTGTCTTTCTATCTACAGCAAATCCATCTATAAAAAGGCTCACTTGCCTGCCTTAGGATGAGAAATGCTTACTATTATTAACTACTATTATCAGCAGCACCATCTATCTATCCATCTGTCATCTTGGGATACTGTACTGGGTAATTCCCATTTATTCTAGGTACTCTTCCATCTATCTCTCTGCCCAGCCCCAGGGTATTGGGGCAACTCTTTCACTCCAGCTGGAGCAAAGCTGGGTCAGGCAGGGCTATTTCTTCCCTAACGTGCTTTAGTTAGAATGTGTTTCCCCAGGTAAGAAGTTCACTCACCCTTGATTTTGGCACTGATTGGTGGGTACTGCTTGACTTCCCCTGGTGCCGGGGCTGAGGTTCTACAGGTGCTAGCACCATAATTGCCAGCTCGGCTGGGACCTTTAGACTTGGACATCTCCCTTGGGGGAGGCCTCGGGGAGTCTTTATAGCTTCCGTCGCCAGCAGTTACCCTGGAGAAACAAGCCAAGAAAACACTAAATAAATAAACAAAGCTCTGCGGCCGGGCTCGGCTTCTTGCTAGAGGGACCAGGGCACTGATGAACCTAAAGGGCGGCATGACAAAGTCAAAGCAGCCATTTGCAAAACGTGTGTGGGGAAAAGACGTGCTCTGCGTTAACGATCAGTTTGGACCAGTGACTTGCGTTGCTGCCGCTTCAACTTGACCAGGGATTAAAAGCTTAATTTAAAAAAACAAAACAAAAAAACAACACCCAGATCCTCAAACTTGCCTTTGACTTCTTTTTTTGGACCGTAAACGGCAGCCCCTGCTCTGATTAGCCCTTTGGTTGCCAAGGGAATGATGTAAGTGTGGAATCTGGAAAGTCTGTTTATTTCCACATTGCCATGGTGCTGGCAGAATGTTGTGGAAGGATGTGTATGGAGCCAGACTAGCCCCCGACATGGTGGGCATTAGCTCTGCGTAGTGACCACTAAGGAGGAGAAAGCCACAGGCAGTTGCTGAGACATGGTCTAGGCAGGCTCCAAAGGCTGATCATGTTACCAACCGTCGCTGCCGTTGTAAAAGAAAGATTTAGTAAAAAAAAAAACCTTTTATGAGCCCTGCAGCCCAAGTTGTTATCACAGAATAATGCGTAGTCTGTAAAAACCCCATTAGCGCTCCTCTAAAGGGGCTGGCTGCTGATCTGTCCAGGCAGCTCTCAAAATAGTTTGTCTCGAGCTAAAGAAGGGTGTCTAGTGCAGTGGTTTTCAAACTGCGGGTCGCAACCCAGTACTGGGTCGTGGAATGTAAAGCACTGGGTCGTGGTGGTTCTGGTCAGCACTGCCAACTGGGCCATTAAAAGTCCCATTGGAGGTGCTGCCTGGCTAAGGCAGGCTAGTCCCTACCTGTTCTGACACCGTGCTGAGCCCCAGAAGTGGCCAGCAGCAGGTCCAACTCCTAGGCGGGGGGGCCACAGGGCTTTGCACACTGCCCCCACCCCGAGCACCGGCTCCGCACTCCCATTGGCTGGGAACCGGCCAATGGGAGCTGGGGGGCAGTGCCTGCAGGCGAGAGCCACACGGAGCCACTTGCGCGCCTCCGCCTAGGACCTGGACCTGCTGCTAGCTGCTTCTGGGGCGCAGCGGAGTCCGTGGTGCCAGGACAGGCAGGAAGCCTGCCTTAGCACCCTCTGCGCCGCTGACCGGGAGCCGCCCAAGGTAAGCCTGTACCCTAACCCTGCACCCCAATCACCTGCCCCAGCCCTGAGACCCCCCAAACCTGGAGCTCCTTCCTGCACCCCGGCCCCACCCCAGAGCCTGCATCCCCAGTCCAGAGCCCTGACCCTCTCCCGCATCCCAGCCCCCTGCCCCAGCCCTGAGCCCCTCCCACACCCTGAACCCCTCATTCCCAGCCCAACCCTGCAGCCCTCACCCCCACACCCCAACCCTCTGCCCCAACCCTGCAGCCCTCACCCCCACACCCCAACCCTCTGCCCCAGCCCTGAGCCCCTCCCACACCCCAAACCCTCATCCCCAGCTCCGTTGGGTCGTGGGCATCAACAATTTTCTTCAACTGAGTCACCAGAAAAAAAGTTTGAAAACCACTGCTCTAGTGGCTCTGGCACTCCACGGGGGCTCAGCACTAGGTCCCAACCCTGGCTCTGCCGCTGATCAGCTGTGGCCCTGGGCAAGTCACGTCTCCACTCTCAGACTGTTTCCCTCTCACCCATTGCCTGTGCTCCCTATTTCAATGGAAAACTCCTCAGGGCAGGGACTGTCTCTCAGTGCGTATGCACAGTGCCTACCACAATGGGGCCTCAGTCTTGGCTTGGGCTTCTAGGCACAATTACTAATTACAATTAATCCTGTAGTGGCCTTGTGCTTCGAACAGAACAGAGAGTGAGCAGACTTCAGTTCTGTCCCTCACGCTGCCGTTGAATGTGTATGATTCTGGGCAAATCAGTTAATCGCTCTGTGCCTCAGTTTGCCCACCTGTAAAAGAGGGTTTATAACACTTCCCTACCTTTGTAAAGTGCTTTGAGAGTCTCCAATAAAACAAGGACATAAATGACACTAAAAACACACATTGCACCAACCTCATGGCCACCCCTACACTCTCTTCAAGAGTAAGAATTGTAAAAGCAGAGAGCAGTGAGATTACAGGGGCATTTTAATATGCCCCCAGGTACTTAATTCTTTCTCCTCCGGTTGGGAAGCAGCAGAACTGCTTGCTGACCTTGTGCTGAGCAAACCCTTAAGGAGTACCACCTGTGTATGTACTGCAGTTACACGCCACTGCTTGTGTGCTGCTGTGTTTGGCATCTTTATCACCGAGGACTCTGTAAGGGAAATCCAGCAGGTCTGGAAGTTTCTTATGCAAGAGGAGAATGTAAATTCCCTGAAATCTGCCAAGGAGCCACTCAACAGGCAGTTTTGTTGCAGAAAGACGCAGTCCCGCCCTTAAAGGGTTACTGGCAGAGCTGGTAGGCCCCAAATCAGTAGTTTTCAGTTGAACAGGAAGCTTTGCTTCTCAGAGGCACTGGTCCACTGCAGTTTGCCCTCCTCCACATCAATCCAGATGTTGACTATGAAAGAAAAACAAACCCACAGCCATCATCCTAGCCTCCCAAGAGAAACAAATCTGCTGTCCATACCCTGGGCTTCTCCTGAGTTTACATTACAGCAGACTGCAGAGCTGTAATAAATACCTGGGGGACTTGAATGAGGTGGCTGAAAGAGAGGGATAGGGATGGGGGAAGTTGGCGCAAAAGCTGTGTCTCTCTTTGTAAGAGCCCGTCCAGAGGCAGCATTTTTGTCCTTGCCTCAAATTCATTTGTTTCCTTTATTTATTGTGCTAAAAAGACTGACCAGAGTGGAATACAAAGGGGTTTGTGGTAGGGAGAGAGAGCCCCATTTTGACTTCCCTAACACCTTCTGCTCGATGTCTCTGTTTCTTATATCCACCAGTTGTTTCCCATTTTATACTTAGACAGCAAGCTCTTTGCAGCAGGGATCCCTTTTGTTTGCTGTGTGTACAGCACTACACAACAGAACCACTGCAATGCAAATGATAAACGATAAAAATAATGACCCAGCATCTATGCTGTTAGTGAAAAAGGCCCCCCAAAGTGTCTCACCACCCGCCTGGATATTTCAGACACCCCAGGGTTTGGAGGAGAGAGGGGAATCCTGGGTGGTGCTGCAGCAGTAATATACAACTCTTGGAAGATGGCTGATGCTTCCCTTATTCATATTCATTTAGGGAAAAATCCTACGCAGTAATTCAGTGAAGGTTGCTAACCAACACACAGCATTGCCAACACAAGCACGATGAAACAAGGAAACGAAAATTTAAGACATCAGCAATCCACATGTCCTCAGGAAACTCACTAATAATGCGGGCTCCTCACAGAACACATTGCAAACATTAGCAACATAGCTCCATAATGCAAAGATTGATTCCCTGTCCGTCCATCCACCTGTACTTTGTGCAAAATGAGTGCAGGGTGAGTGTCTAACACTTTGTATTGCTGTACACTTTCCCAGAGTCTGGCTAGTGGGTCTTGCCCACATGCTCAGGATCTAACTGATCACCATATTTGAGGTCAGGAAGGGATTTTTCCCCAGGTCAGACTGGCAGAGACCCTGGGGGTTTTCCACCTTCCTCTGCAGCATGGGGCATGGGTCACTTGCAGATTTAGACTAGTGTAAATGGTGGATTCTCTATAACTTGAAATCTTTAAATCCTGATTAGGGGACTTCAGTAACTCAGCCAGAGGTTAGGGGTCTATTACAGGAGTGGGTGGGTGAGGTTCTGTGGCCTGCAATGAGCAGGAGGTCAGACTATGATCACGCTGGTCCCTTCTGACCTTAAAGTCTTATGCAAGGTGCAGCACAATGAACCATCACAGGCCTTGTAAATTGTAATCTTAACTCTGACGATTGATGGGTTGTATGCAGCTGTGATTGACGCATGTTCCCACCAGCTTATCCATCCTTTGCTCTGTTAGCTGCTAGCTTTCAGCACACATTTTGTGTTAATCATTTCATTGATCTGCTACTCCAAAATCTGATGTTTAGATTGCAGTGTCTTCCTGCCATGAGACAACCCTAACAAGTTCCATCCCATGAACACAGGTTGAGTTCGCTTCGCTAGCAAACACAAGTACTAGCATGTGAGTTTCTATTTATTACAAACACACGTACACTACACAGCCCAGCACAAACACAACCCAAAACACCAATCGTTCCTCACTTGAACCTCAGATGAGGTTAGACATTTTTTAGAAACCACAGTAAACTAAAAATTACACAACACTGCAAATGACAAACTAGATTTTAGCGCTTTCACGCATGAATGGCATGCAATGAATATATTTACGTGCACTAACAGATAGGCTTCCAGAACTTTGTTCCAGCTGAAAGTGCAAATCTACAGCCAACCTGAACTCTGGAGCTGCTGATGTGTTTTGAAGTTATGGGTTGACTGATGCAACCTATCACTGCCCCCTCTGCAGCTGTTGGTCTGTAGGAAAGATGGGCCCAGTCTGCCAAGCTCTGATCCAGCTGCAGAACCAGACATTGCCACAGTTCAGCCATGTTCTGATGCATGGTTTTGGTTTGGGCGCCTCTCTAATGTGGAAGGGGTGCTGATGGGTCTCTGTGCTGTCTGCCCCACAGAATGGGGAAGAGACAAACCTAGGGCTATATGCTCTCTTTGGATATGTCTACACGGCAGCTGGGAGTGAAACTTGTGCTAGCATGGCCTGAGCTAGCGAGCTAAGACTAGCTGTGTGGACATTGCAGCACCAGCGGCGGCTCAGGCTAGCCACTGGTGCTCAAGCCCGCCCTACCCCATGGGTCTAAGCTCAGGCAGCTAGCCCCTCCACCAGTGCTCCAACGAGATCTCCCCTTTGATGACATCCAGGATTCCCACTGACATCAACGGCCCTCCTTGTGTAACGTAGGACAGAGTAAGGGAGCCCCACTCCCATGGGCAGGACAAACATCCATGACAGCACACAGCTGGGATAATCTAATTGTTCCGCGAGTTATCGCAGCTCAACAGATGCCCATATTTCACAAGTCGACCTCGGCTTCTCCCCCGCCCTCCCCTCAAGGGCCACCTCCCTTTGAATGCTTGTTCCAGCCTCTCATATGATAGAGCACCACCTGACAAGGCTTGTGTTTAACAGATCGGACAGTGGGGCTTTTTCTTCATTAAGGCTGCCTCTCTGGGATGATTCACTGACCAGCCGGAGTCTTCTCATTAGAATGATTCATTGGTTTGAGCTGTTTGTTTGTTTGTCCGTTTCAAACTGGATGAGTTTGGTGCTGGTGAAAGTGGGGAATTAATACCGAGCCAGGCCCGATGTGATGCAGGCAGGCACAGTGCAGGCTTTGAACAAACAGCTCAATCCTGATTCTCCACATGCCCGACTAGCCCAGCCCTGGATTCTCCACATGCAGTGGCTGATGACTCTCATTCCTCACCTGCAGCATCGCTTGCTCCTCAAGTCCTGCACTGCCACACACACACTGGTCTGCCAGTGAACCCCAATCCTCCCTGCCTACACTCCCTGACATCCCAGTCTTCTGCCCACAATCTGGTTCATTATCGGACCTCAGTGCTGCCTTACAACATCTCCTGCTCTTCCAATCATCCGTCCCCCATCCTGCTCTGATCATGCACCTCCGTCTGGACCTGCAGCATCTCCTGCTATCCTGGTTCTGTGCCTTTCCTAGACAATGGTTCTAGCTGGGCCAGACAACGTGATGCTTTTATAATGCAGTTAAATTTCCACTGGTGATTAGACCCCCCAATCTCATTTCACTCATAGCCTCAGCCTGATTTGGCCCCAAGTATGGTACCTAGCTGTGCAAACCCAATGAGTTAATCCTTTGTCCCATGTAGGTCTCTTTGCTAATGGCTATGGGCAAGTCTTTCTCCCCCCAGTCCATCAGGTAATTTGCATCAACACAGACATTTGCTTGTTTACTAGTTTTCAAATCCTCAACCTTTACCATTTCCAAGGCTGGACTCTGTCCTAAAGAGATACCATCCATTTTCACTAGCATGTTAGACTCAAGGTTTCTTTGTTCTTCCCTTACCAACCTCTGCTTCCACATGGAATCAGATGTCAAGTACACTAAAAGACTACAAGTCATATCCAAAATATCTAGAGATGAGAATTTCCCTGCCATCCCCTGTATGCTCGAGAAATTAACTGCACAACTGTCCTCCTGCTCTGCAGATTCAGCTGTCCAGTCATCCCTCTGAACCTGAGATACAGACTGTTTACTCAAAGAATCAACATGGAGACAGTCCTGTCCCAACACCGTTGTCTCCCCGACAAGCTGGTTAAGCTTATAGGGCTGTTTAAACTCCCTAACAATTTTTATTTCACCTGAAATCTCCTCAAAGCTATCCACCATGGATTTTCTTCAAAGCAAATTCCGTGGATTCATTTTCATTTGAAAGACTTTGGCCACTAGGCACCAGCACGTTCCCCAGAAAAGAGGCTGTTTACTATCAACAATGTCCCATTAAGGGTCAGTGGAAACAATTCCTTGTCACAGACTTTAAAGACTTCACTCAGGTCTGGTCTATACTACCCGCCTGAATCGGCGGGTAGAAATCGACCTCTCGGGGATCGATTTATCGCGTCCCGTCGGGACGCGACAATCGATCCCCGAATCGGCGCTCTAACTCCACCAGGGGAGGTGGTAGTAAGCGCCGCCGACAAAAAGCCGCAGAAGTCGATTTTGCCGCCGTCCTCACAACGGGGTAAGTCGGCTGTGATACGTCGAATTCAGCTACGCTATTCACGTAGCTGAATTTGCGTATCTTAAATCGACTCCCCCCTGTAGTGTAGATGTAGCCTAAGAAATTCCTTTTCTTTTGCAATATCCTGCACTGCAACCCATTCTTTCTGAGCTTTATTTATGTCCAGAACCGACTTTGGCACAACAAAGAAATCACCAAACTTCTTCTGTGTTTCACATACATCCAGAATCACATCTGGCCCATCAGGAGGATTTTCACAAAACCCCCTGTCAGGTAGGGTTACCATATTTCAATAGTGCAAAAAGAGGACACTCCACGGGACCCCGCCCCTGCCACAACTCCGCCCCTGCCCCGCCCCCGGCCCCATCCAACTCCGCCCCTTCCCCACCCCAACTCCACCCCCTCCCCTGAGCACCCCACATTCCCCCTCCTCCCTCCTGCCCCCCAGCTGCTGCTGCGCTGGGGAAGTTGCTTCGGCCCCTGCCGCGGTGGAGAGCGGCGGGAGCCGGAAAAGTTGGAGCCCGGGGAGGAGGCTGTCCCCTTACCATGCCTCCCTATTTTCCCGGACATGTTCGGCTTTTTGGAAATTCCTCCCGGACGGGGATTTGAGGACCAAAAAGCCAGACATGTCTGGGAAAATCCGGACATATGGTAACCCTACCTCTGACACTCACCTCTCCCTCCACTGGAGGGACTCCCCTGTCCATACCTGTCCCGGGGCCTTCCTTTAAAGGGGCATCCCCATATCAGCGGGGGTCTACTTGGAAAAGATAATATTTACTCCCTTGTGTGGCTGAGCTGGGCTGTGACAATCCAAGCCATCATGAGTACTGTGAGAAATAGGGCACAACACTAACCAAGGCAGTGTCATTTCAGGGACTGTATGGGCCTCGAAGTTCAAACAAATGAGCTATATAAAGTCATTTTCTTTACTGGGAAACCAAATGGAAGTTTTTCTAGAAGGGTATTTTTAGAAATCTCAGTATAATGACAAATTTCAAGCTCAGTTAAATAACTTTTTTGTGAAATGATGCAGAGCACAATTAGTACAGAGACATGAATAGTGAGAGATCCAAGCTGGTTTGCCTGATATTGTGTAAAAATGTGTGTAAGTTTGATATAGAAGGCCTTGCCAAACTAATTATCGAAGCATATGCAACCATCATCGTAGACAGTGACTTGTTTATACTGCTCTATATACTATACCAGTGTTTCTCAATCTGGGAGTCGTGATTTATTTGATAATTTATATGGTAAAAATGAGAAAATAAGCAATTTTTCAGTAATACTGTGCTGTGATACTTGTATTTTTATGTCTGATTTTGTAAGCAAGTAGTTTTTTAAGTGAGGGGTACTCAAGACAAATCAGCCTCCTGAAGGAGGTACAGTAGTCTGGAAACATTGACAACCACTGCTCTAATTGACCTGGATCAAGAATGTCTTTGTTTTACTTTCTATTTCTATAGTAAGGCTATTGGGATCTCGGCATTAAAATACAGTCTCAGAAGGATTTTTTGAATCATGTTTTTAAGAAATTTCATAAATGGACCACTGCACTTCCCCCAAATTAATGAGTCTGATGTTTCATTTTTTAAGACCAAAGGTCCCTGCATCTTCCAAGTATTAGAGTGAGTTGTTTTCCAGAAACCCAAAGGTGGAAGTTCATTAGCAATCTATTTGTGTGTAATACATTTTATAGTAACAAATAAAAAGGAAGTCACAACTGATCTAGTCAAATTTGCTTCCTGCCCTCTAGTCAGGGACGTATCTCCCTGCTGTCAACAGTTCTCTCCGGAAACAGCAAAAGAAAGATCCCAGATCAATCTATGAAACTGAAAAAGGTATTCCCAGAAACACTGAGAAAATGAATGCCAAGGGCTTTTGTTACACTTTACCAGGGAGATCAGGAGTGAATGCACCAAACCGAAAACTCACTGCTGTGGAAATAAACTCTCAGGGCTAGACTCTGCTTGGAGACAGCAGAAACTGCTACCATTTGCTGCTCTGAGGTGTACAGTGCCTCGCAGAGCTGGGGAAAGGAGACAAGACCGTGGCTGGCAGTGCAGGAGAGCGTAAGGTGCATCGCTGGCCTCCCCTCTGCGCTGCTATGGGGCCGAGCACCCCCCTCACTGGGCCCCCCAGGTGGAGGGAGAGGTGACACCCTCACGTGCCCCAGGCCGGGCTGAGCCACGGTGGGGTCCCTGTCCCTTTAAGAGTGGGGCTGGGCTGAGCCGAGCCAGTGGCTGGGGTGGCTCCGCTCCCGGCTGCAGGCTGATGCCGGAGCCTGGGCTGAGAGCCAGGCTCGTCTCCTGCACCAGCTCCGGGAGGGGCTTTGCTGCGGCTCCCCCAGTCCCCCCGGGCCGGGCCGCTGCACGGTGTGTGTGTGGGGGGGTTGCTTGAAGCAGGGCAGGGCAGGACCCGGTGGGGCCCAGGGCTGAACAGACCCGGCAGGGCGGTGCGGGGGCTGCTGGAGGGGGAAGCTGGGGAAGGGGTGGCACGGCCTCAACCCCCTGGGGCTGCCTGCCCCGCGGAGGAGGCAGTGGGGCGCAAGCTGCGGCAGGACCCCAAACCCCTGGGGGAGGGGATCTGGGGCCAGCCTGGGGAGGCAGGAGCAGCCCCGGAGGTGCTGGGCGCGTGCAGGGCAGAGCCCCGGGAGAGCCCCAGCCCCGCGGCGGGCAGTGTTGCAGAGGAGGAGCCCGCGCCCCCCGGCGGGTGAGGGGAGCCCCAGG